CCTGTGGCCCAAGGGCACTCGTGACAATGTGGCCGAGTGGTTAACGTGTCAAGCTCACATTCCTCACAGTCATGGTTCGACTCCCGCTGGGGGTGTTGTAAGACCTGAACGAGGTCGAAACTGAAGTCCACTGGTGCCCAGATAAGAAAAACTTTTGAAAAGCAAGGCAATGTCAAATTGAATGGAAAAATCAGCTCTACTCATATCAAGGTGGGATAATTCGACTACCAGTCCTTCATCATCTTAAACGAAATATGGTGAATTCATCTCATATTACTGATTTATTGGTAGTCTCGAAACTTTACTTAAATACGAAAAATAAAACTTTCTGCCGTAATACAATTGAAATGCAGTAACGAAACTAGCACATAATATTGGAAATTGACTAACATAATAAGTATATTTGCATAAAGGGAAATATATGAAATAAAGACATAGGATTAAAAGGAGACTAAAATTATGACCAACAGTAACAAAATTGTGAGGCGTATACAGAAAAAAGTGAATTATTTCTGGTTATAAAGATTTCATTAAAACTCAATTATTTCAACATGCTGAATATACAAAATAAACTTTAGAAATTTTCACCATGAAGATATTTTCTTTATTCTTACCAATGCACATGTGCATCACATACTGGAGGAATTACGACTCAGGAGGGTATTAACCAGGTCATGAAAACTTATGAAGTTACGGTGGAAAAATAATATGGCATGCCTTACACACTAAACATCTGTCGCCCGTAAGTATCTTAATGAAATAGACAAACTGTAAAATGTACTGCTCTATAAAAAAACGGTGTTTAAAAAAATCTTATTTTGTAATATGAAAAATGTCAGGTAATATAGAATGTTATCCTTGTATGACATAGCAGGCTGATGGGAAGGTTGAAGAACAATACAAACCTCATTAATCGGCAAATCCACTACTGAATTATGGAGAAATACCTTGCTTTTTCAGGAAATCATATTGGCCAAGAGTTGGGAGGCACTTTCTGCAAGGCAAAATTAAGCAAAGATGCAAAAAGTTGTCCATTGTATTCCTTCACACATAAACGCCTAATGACGACTAGATAGGGTATTAAAAATTCTGGCCAGGTATCCATTAACATCATTTAAACTCAGGGAAAATATGAAGAAAGTCTTTATACTTTTATGGAAGTGGGTTGATATCGTTGTCACAACTTGGTCTTGCTGTCAGGGCGACATAGTAGAACGCACCTAGTCCGAAGTCGTCTGCCATGGTGGTTGTCATGATTCCCAGCATCAGACAGTCGACTTGGTACATTCTCGAACGCTTCGCCGGCATCGTAGTCGGCATCATCAGTGAGTTTTGCCAGTCTCCGCGCCACGCTAAAAACTCGTCAAGGAGACAAGTGAAGTCAATCTCTCAACAAACGTTCTGCCGAAAGCGGTTACACTATCACTCCTCTTTCTGTACTGGTCTATCTATTTACTCTTTACCCTCTTATGAAATATGGGCAGGCATGAAACCCCATATTTCAATAAATTATCTAAATTTACAGCTTAAATTAAATAATAAATTAGCCCCTTTTATTGAAGAAAAAAAGAAATAATAAGATGGATTTGAGTTAAGCATGAAAAACTCATCAAGTGGGTTAGAAGCATTGGCGTTAGCAAAGAAAACACTCTATTTTTGCCCCAGTGTCTGCGTGTGTAAGTTGCATAAACTTTATGCGCATCTGGCCTATCAGTGATATATATGATAACTTTAGCAATTATTTTATTTATATTTTGTAAAATAATCAAAGATATGAAGACCAAGATGGTGTAGCCTTTTGTGCGGTCGCAGATTCCTTTCGTTGTATAGAAGTTATTTGACCTTATTTTCGCAACTTGGCCATTTTGGTAGGAAGACTTAGAGGAACGCAAGTTTTCCGGAGTCTATTCTATGCATCATCATTTTCAGAGTAGGACCGTGAATGTGGTACATTCCAAGACGTTTCCCCGGCATCGTCTGTGATTCTCACCATTCTTAGCATCACACAACAACTCGTCAAAGAGACAAGTGAAGCCGATCCTTTGACAAAACGTGCGTTAAACAATTGTGGTATCTCCCCTTCTGCCATGGCCTATTCGTCTTTCCCACATCCTCTTATCACACCTTCACTATCACAATTCTTTTTTCCTTGCTTATTGTAATCTAATGTGGTGTGCCCTTTTGAGCGGCATTCATGAGAACCCTTCACACTCAACGCTGGTGTTCTCACGCCCTCTTCACCCTTGTGCTGGGAATGTTGGTCAGAGTCTGCCATATTGTTACACAGTCCTTCTTCAATAGGTCTTAACACAGTCTCCCTCTTGCCCAGTAGGATCCGTCTGCTCTCTCCCTGGTTCAAGGTTGAACCTAATCATTTCTTCAAACACTCTCACTCGAAATGGACGTATGCTCAATAATTAGAGTCCTTAGTTGATCACATTTTGGGTCAGGATGGATTACCACTAGTCGGTTGATGTTACTGCCACTAATAATTGCTATTTCGAGGCCCAACTAAGTCGTGCAAATTCGTGGAGAGAACAATCATTGGTAGAAATATTTCCCATTAGACTAAATGTCACTGAGGCTAATTGGCTACAATACAGGCACCGATTTCGAGGAGAGACACCAGAACATTTCAGCCAAGCGTACAAGATTACCTTCATAGCCGTGTCATCACGAAATCACACACTAAAGGTAAAATATGAGGTGTGAAGACCAAGTTGGTGTGGCCTCTTGTATGGTCACGGTCTCCGTTCGTTGTGTAGTAGTTGCCAATAGTGGCAAGGCTCAATGGCGATGTCGGAGAAACGTCTGGGAATGTACCAATTCCATAGTCCGACTAAGTTGCGAAACCAAGTCCAAACAACTTCTGTGTTTAACTTATTTGGTTTGAGGTGACGAAGGACTGGTAATTGCATTTTGCTACAATGAAATGGCCAAGATTCATATTCACCTATTCTGGTTTCCTAAAAGTAGTACAAGTAGACTGTCGTTTCCACTTCGACTAGGCCCAATTAGCACTTTCAATGGTACGCGAAAACGGATTATGGTAGCACCGAGTACAGTTTCGACACTTTAGCCAATGCGCTTCTGTCATGACTGCTATGGGTCACAGGGAAGAAGTGAATTCTCATGTCACCCACTTTGGTGGGATTGTCGATTAAGCAAATGTGTATTTACATTTGTGTATTTACATTTGCAATTCATAGCATTACTTATTTTTATTTTTGTAGATGAGACCGACGCGAAATATAATCTCAAATCCAGTTCAGTTGAAGTGAGATTGCCTTTTAGGAAACAAGGCTATTTGAAATGTAATAGAATCATGAGGCCTACTCATTTGATTGTATGAAAATTCAACGACAAGTTCTACATTAGCTTATTCGAGATCTACTGGTAGTCTCTGAGCCCTATTAAAAAATGAAAAAAAGAAAAAAAGCCAAATTGCATCATTGGCATATTTTTCTACTTCTTGACTTGTGTAATAACAATCTAGTACATGAAAGTCTTAATTTATTCGCCGACATTACTTATTGATTCGTTCATATTGGAACTAAGTTTCAATCACTCTAGGTCGCTTAATGTAATGATGGACTGACATAAAATGTTTCTACAATGTGATTAGGTGTTTCCACGATGCTACTTAATCACATTTAGTTCTCAAGGAAGGTTCTTAACGCGGCTAAATTGGATTAAAAATGCGGGCTCGTTTAGGTATCATCGGCAACCGCAACGGGATTCGAACCCGGTTAGTGTGGCGATTAATTTGTGCACGCTCCAGCTATACCACACTGGCACGAATGTCATTTGGTCACAGGGCAGAAGTTAATGCCAAGCGAAGCTAGTCTTTTCACTATCATATTTTATAGGAATTTGGCTGAGTGGTTGACGTGTCAAGCTCACATTCTGCCCTGCCACGGTTCGACTCCCGCTGGGGGTGTTGATAAGACCTGAGCGAGGTCGAAACTGCAGTCCACTTCAGCCGGGATGAGAAAAACTTTTGGGTAAGCAAGTTTATGTGAAATTGAATGTAAACGTCAGCTCTAGTCATATCACTGCGGGAAAATTCTACTACCAGTCCTTCATCACCGTAAACGTAATAAGGTGAATACATCTCATACTACTGATTTACTGTTAGCCTCGAGACTCTACTCATATATGAAAAATAAATTTCGTTAAGCTGACAATGAACGGATAGTTGATCGCCCTAGTCACCATAGGTTGAATAAAGTTCCTTATATCTGATCTTATGTTAGTCTTGAAAGTAGTAAAAAAATGTTTAGATACGAAGGGAAACTTGGTTTCGATGAATCTCCTGAGATAGCATTTTAAGGGGGACCTTCATTTCGAATGAAAGTACATGAACGGCTGCAATACAACGATTTTCATTCGTCCTCATCTGGTGAGTTCGACAAACGAATCTCTTCTTCATGTATTTTTATTAGAAATGAAGTTCCCCCGTACAAAAAATGTTTAGGTTGATATTAGCATGTATTATTGAATATTAGGACTTTTAAATCTCATTAAATTGTATTGAGCCCTGCCAATAATAAGGTTATCTTTATCCAGGCGATATATTTTTTTAAGGAAAAGAGGATCAAAGAATTTCATAAACTTTGTCCAATCCTGTTTGAATTTGTTGATAAAATGTGTGCGATATCAGAACTGCCTTTTACTCTGGAGACAAGGCTAAGTGGGATAGAAATGACATCACATGTTATTGTTTGAGAAAACTCAACTCTCAGTTCTTAAATCACTTTAAGTAGCGTAGGCCAACTAAATTCTGATTCAAGAAGTATTGATGCTCTCGAAATCAGCTCCTGACCAAAATTGGTAAACTAGCTTGCCAATTAGTCGAGGCCTCTGGTACAGTCGTCAGGAGTCGAATGAAACCATAAACAACCAATAGACAGGTTTTTCATTGAAGTTTTGACAGAAAAATACCTGCTGAATAGTAAACATTTACCAAAATCGTATTGGGGCTCAGACTGACTAGGAACTTACTGGTAGTCGGTGTCTTTCGATCTGAGCTCTCGCACCAGGGACCATCTAGACTGAGGTGGAAATTTCCTCCTTATGAGGAAGGAGTTGGCGGACACAATCATGGTGCCGTTGAAACGGGCATACAGACTGGCAGAGAACTCCTGTAGATATTGGTCGAAGTCGGCCAATTGGTCATTGTAGACGGCCAAGCGTCTGTTCATCAGAAGGTAGGGCGTATATGCAGGAGAAAAGTTTACCTGAGACCGAGCGGGGTGCAAACAGATGGCAATAGTTGGCAAATGTCATTTGTGTAAGATGTATTTATGCAATTCCCAGTAAGGTGGCTACATTTCATGTATTATTATCCACTAGCAGTCGGGGAA